TAAGAGACAGGCTGGAAAACCGGGCCCAGGCTGAGGCAGCTTGGCCCTGGTGCCTCGGTGCCGCTTTCAAGCAGCGATACCTGCAGGGCTCGCTAGGTATTGCTTGTTTTGTTTTTTGTTAAGGGAATTTCCCGGGAGGAGGGTGTCAGACCACAGCGCGTCCCCTCGCTGTCCCTGCATTCGCCCGACTGGCCACAGCGGGCTGCGCTGCTGCTGCGACCCCAAGCATCAGCTCCCCTCCGTGCCACCACCTTCACAGCAGATATCCCCACTGGAGAAGTGTCATAAATTTGTGACACAATACCTGAGTGTTTTTCTTAACGGTATGAAGAAGGGCCGTGTTCAGAGACAGCGTAGTTGAGCCTAATACACAATCAGGATCTAAAATCATGCAGGTACTCAGTAAGTCATACTTTAAATTCTTGGGCCTGAAATAGCTTTCCCTCCCAGTTTTGACAGATACCAAGTAGTTGGCCTACACTGAAGCAGTCATTACATGATGCACATTTGACAGAGGTTGTGGTCTGCACTACTGCAGTATTTCAACCAGAGAACATTAAAATATTCTATTCAACAGAATTTCTGGAAAAGGCAACATTAAGTCTTTGGAGGAAGTAACCAGAGGCCACTGGTCCTCAGTGCAGAGATGATGATAAGCAGCCAGTTGGACTGAAGGCAGAGGGGACCAGCTCCTGCTGCCACCTCCCCAAAAGTTTATTTTCTGACTCACACTGACAAGTGCAATTAGCTTTGTCCTGTGTTGCTGACAGGTTAATCCTATTAATGCCCCTAATTCAGATTAAAGACTATGTCATTGCAAAGAGATTAAAATGGTAAGAAAAAGCTTGTTATTCCAAGGATAGACTTTAATAAGGGGGGTCCACACCAGTCCCACTCCCACCCTGCCTCCAAGGTCAGGAGTTTGTCAGGCTCTCAGGGAACAGCCCCACAGTCCTGAATTAATAAAATCTGCCTTCCCTTGGTAGTCAGCATACCAGCCCTGTGAACAAACCCGCTTTCTCTTTTGGATGCAATCAGACCAGTTCAGACATCTTCGGTCCATCTCCTGCTTCTTCCCCGGGCTCCTGGCAGCGTTTGGCAGGCAGCTGGCACAGCCAGCACCCACAGCTGAGCCCCTCCTGGGAGCAGCAGCATCGGGCCTTGCTGTGGTTGAGAACCTTGGCAAAGGCCCCAGAGCATCACCCTGCTACTCCTGACACAAGGGAAGACCCAAGGGATGGTCCCCCTGGGCTTTGTAGGAGTCAGAGAGCAAAGCAAAGCTGATCACCAAGATCAAGCGAGACCAGAGCCTGGCACTTACCCAGCAAGCAGGGACTAAAAGAAGGTATTTTTTCCCCCCAGAGGAAAACATGATTCTTCACTGCATGCTCATTTAAAATAATTTAAAGCATCTACTTCTGTTTGGTTTTAGTTTTTTTTTTTTTTAAACTTCTGTAAGCTTACTATGAAACATGTTTGAAGTTGTATAAGGTTACTGTGAAGCATTAATAGACTACTCCCCCACCCCCCCAAAAAAGCAGCAATGCAGAGTATACATGAAGTGGCAACACATCCAATGGTGGATCCAGGGCACCTACTTTTATTTTGAGCCAATGTAAGCCAGTTGCGCAGCTGCTTAGATACACAAGGAAAAGGTAGAATAATTTTTTCTCATTCCTGAGGAATAACTGGCACCACTAGTAGCATAGCACTGTCTCAAATCACAGCCCTGGATCTTCCTTGGGAAATGGTATGCAGTACTTGAGGCCAAAGCAGGTGGGATCCATTTGGCATGCAGGGTAACTATTATTATCAAAGCAATTCCAGCTACTGCAGCTAGCTGTACCCACAGGGCTACGAGAGCCACGGCCTCAGGCAACAGGAGGAGTTGGAGATGCACATTGAGCATAACAGAGCTACTCTTAGTTCCAAATACTATATAGGAACCATTTTCACCTTTTATATTTTGAGTAAAATTCTGAGTTACAATTACAATATAAATCGTAACACTTCGCAAGTCAAGTTGCATACATACTGTTTTCAAACTCAACGTTGTTTTTAATGGCAAACTGTCTTCAAATACAATGAATATTTCTGCTCTGCCCACTATCATTTATAGAGGAATTCTTTTCAACTGATTTGTAAGTTAACATGAAACAGCTCTCCTTAAGACTGCATAACAGAATCCTGTTAAATTTTAGGCAATTGTAATTTGTACTTAGTCAAAAAGCATGCAGCAGTGTGTTTTGTCTAGAGAAAAACCTCAACTGCTAGACTGAAAATGAAGTACATCTCACTTCTTGAAACATGGGGACAGCTAGTGACTTCAGATTAAAAAAAACCCCAAACCAACAAAACAGCTTTCCTGTTACCATTATTTACTCCCTTTCCTACTTCCACATTTAAATCCAGTAATAATAGACTATCTTCAAAACATAAGCCATTTTGTACCTCTTTCAGCTGGCCTGTAAAACTGTTCTGACAAGTTGAGTCCAAATTCAGAGTTTTCTTTAAAGTAAAAATTCATCAAGCTTCATGAAATCTTTGCTTTACAGAGCCAGAAGTTACAATTTCCAACCAGTTGGCACTCGTGTAAGATTACACTTGCACCCAATAGGTAGAAATTTTACCTCCAATGAAAGGGATAGAAGTCTCCTTTGACTGCAGGATGCAGAGCCCAATGCACCATTTCAAAGCCCTGACACCCCTTCTCCTTCCCCCAGTTTTCAAGTGAGGGAAGTTAAAATGAGCAAGTAAGAAAAGAACCTTGAAGAAGTCAAGAGGCTCCATAATAAAGAAGTTCTCTGAATACTTTCAGCAGTTCCAGTTAACTTCTAATAGTGTGCTTTACCTTTACACTTTGTGGATATATTTAAATGAAGTCCAGCACAAGAGAGCACTGAGGATTCTGAAGACTGGCATAGCCCTTCTCTTAGGAGCAAGTGCTATACAGAAGTAGGTGAAGGTTAGACTCTTCAATAAATGCCATGAGAAAGCAGAGCTAAAGGTTCTGGGACAACTTGCAAAGCAGGACTAACCCATGCTGCCTCAGGCACATGCACGTTAGCTAGAAGACTACCTCTTCTGGACACATCCGTATCTACTGCAGGTTTGCTGCTTGGTGTTAAGAACTGAACCTAAAGTACACCACAAATTACCTTTTAGCCTTCCAGGAACTTAACAACTTTCACTGCACACAGGTTTATCTATCTTACATTTTTTACGGTTTAATACAAAGCTGAAATAATGGGCTAGAGAAAAGAAGGCTTCTCAAAACAATCATGTATACATCTATTTTATAGCTACCTCTTCTGCCTAGCCCCTCCCAAAGTTAGCCTGAAAAACAGTAAAATCTACACAAAGTTTTATTGCAATCATACAAGGGATACATCAAGGGTCAAATACAACAAATACTATGATGCAATTTTACATTTATTAAACTACAGTTCAAAGCACAAATTTACACATTCTAAATACACTAAACATCTAATGAAGTCACACTGGTCTCCCACTGACATTTGATATATCTGGGCGAAAGACAATAACTTTACAAGACTTTTCTAACAGGAATCCTTAGTATAAAAACTGTGTACTTGTATGTAAACTGTTGAAGAACCCAAGTGATGGGTTTCCATCTCCACTAAGTCATCCATTTTGTTGCATATTTAAACGCTCAGGGGTTAAATGAACTTGATTTTAAATTTGGACACCATTATCTAACCCTCCCACCCCCCAGTGAATTGTATCTGTAGCTTGTTTTGCCTGGTCCCCATTAGCTATTACTAATTTTTCAAGTTTTGAAGAGAATGAATTGAATTCAAGATTGTTCCATTTCTTCCACACTGGAATGTTGACCAGACAAACTACAGACTTGCAACTGCAGGTCTAAATGAAGCGTTAATGCCTGTTTAAGCTGCAGTGGAAAAGCGGTCTTCTGGGCTCAGCTGAATGCAAGAAGGCACAAAGAAGAAATTCTTCATCAATGTGTCTGAAGCAATTCCAGCATCTTGCATCTCGTCCCTGCAGCAGAAAAGGATGAGTGCTGTAATAAGGTGTTTTCACGTACAATTTCACATCAGAAACCAGCCTTGAATATAGCATTTCACATCTACTGCCCCTGCACAGATTGGCACCAGTCTCAGAAGAAGGGAGAATTCAGCTCTGCAGGTGCCTGGCAGACACAAATGCCGAGACTCTCCACTGGCAGAGGCACAGGGCCCTGGCTACCTCAGTACTGGAACAGGTTACCAAGTCTCACCATCACCACATCAGCATTACTGCCCTTCCTGCCTACAACAATGGTACTAATAATGTGCACGTTGCAATTACTAGTATTAGGAAAGCTCAGAGGTTGATGTTAAACAGTAGAAGGCTTTACAGCTACCACTAAACTCAGTTGACAATGAGGTATTTTGCCTTCCTTTGCCAAATTCTAAGCAATGTAGGCATTTTATTGCAGCTCTCAGTTTATTCTCAGCTAAGTCAGACAACAGTCAAAAAAGCCACAAACTAAAAAGGCACATTCTTACACTCGTTGCAACTACCTGTATTTGCTATCAAATATAATCTATATTTGGCTGTAAGTGTACACCTTTGAAGGAAGTGAAAACAATTTTGCCACTAGAGAATTTTCTTACCAGTCACTGAAAGACATCATGTAGTAAATCAGTGGCCTCTGATAGTCGTTAAAGGTAGACTGTTCACCTAAGGTACCAGAACCCATATTACCAAAGATCAGCCAATCTCCAACGCTCAGTTCAGGAAGAAGACAGTTTTCCACAATTTGATCAAGCTCATCACAGGATGGACCCCAAAGGCTGCTTGCAAACAGAGGCTCATCTTCCTTGTATTTCTATATGGAAATCCAGGTAATTCAGGCTTCAGTTTATTGAAAAAGTAAGTTTTCAGATTTATTTAAGGACAATTTAATACATAATTATATCTATATGAAGAGTTAAATATGTATAAAAAAATATAAGGATAATAAAGACTATCTCTGAAGAATATAGAAGGACTCACCTTGTGAACCTCTGGGATAGTATTCAGTTTCTCAGACAATTTACTTGCAAAAGAACCATAAACACCATCATTTATGTAATACATAAATACTGGTTCATCATCATTCCTGGTTTGCTCCACTGGAAATAGAAAAGAAGTTGTCTTGCATGCATTTTTTGTCATAAGTAGTCCTTTTGCAATCCTACTTAAGTCAACTGCTTTCTCCTGACAAGGGGGTTCCATATATACTGGAACAGGAAAATTACGAGCAGAGCCATCTTTATGAGACCAGATTGTAAGTTCAGCTGTAAAATTAATACTTTCAGTAATAATCACTATTAAGAATATAAATCCAGTTTCTACTTTAGCAGAGAAGCAGACTGCTCTATGTGTTCTTCTAATACAGAACCTTTTAATACACCTTCATTAAAGCACCCAATATAGGTTTAACTATTAGTAAGTCAAACCTAATAAGGAAACAAGTGCTACATAAATGTAACAGAGAAAGTGAGATACACAGGTAACAGTCAGAAACTAAAAGGCATATTACAATGCAAGGATGAGGGAACATATTAAATACATGCTGAGACAAACTAGTCCATCCTGACTAGAAGTGGGCAGCTATCTGTACTGATTTGTAACATTTAAGAGAAATACAACCCTTACCTCCAGAAGGAAGAAGTTTATCATACTCAACAGTCTTCTTTGCAATGATGTTAACTACTAGTGTAAATGCAGATGAAACATAGTAACACCCAGGCTCTGCAATCACATCAACACCCGATTCCTTAGGAAAGTAGACATCCAGCAATGGCCTGATGACATGATTAACCTAGGAAATTCAAGTCAGGTGTAAGAACAACAAAACTCACACACACTTTCAGACAGCAATAGTTCTAGTACACACCCCAAAAGTTTACACCATTTCTCTGTTCTCTGACAAGTGCCCTCAGAGATCCAACATTTACAGAAGTGTTAAGAAAATAGGTCATTCTGCTAAACACTGAAGATTGCGTACCACGGGTCTGAATACTAGAGTCTCTCCTCCCAACCAAAGTTCAGACTGTGCTACACTCAAGACTGTACAAGTAACTTCAAAGTTTGTCCAGCACAGATAATGTAAAGTTACACATGAATCCCAAAACACAAGGAAAGGGCCTTTTAGTGATCAGTTCTGAATACTGTTGTAATAGAAACAGAATGAATCATTAAATTCTGATGTTCAAATCTTAAGCCAGATATTTAGAGATTAAGTATTCTGGACAAGTAGCAGAACAATTAGAACTAAGAAAAGCCCTGACTGCTGTTAGTAACTTTTCACTGAATCACTTTCACTGTCCTACATTCAAAAGAGTTTGTGTTTAAGACAACATAAGTGTAAACAGGTTACTCTGTTTTATGTGCTACTGAATACTAAAGATCCAAATCAAAGGCTAGCCAAAGCAAAGATAAAAGCAAGCCCTTTAGTCTTCAGTTCTACAGCCAAGTTTCACACTTTCATATAGCAGCAATATGGTTTATGATCCAAAGCATGCTAAGCAACCCTGTTCCAAGCCATGCAACAGAGTAACCAGCTGGACAACTGTCAAAAACCCCAGAATTACTGCTGTTAAGGTGTCTTAGGATAGTAATTTAATCTGTGACATTCTTAAATCAGCATTCACCCAATACGAACAGGATTAAAAAGAAACTATCACCTCCAAGGACTGATTACACTACCCATGATAAAGAATATAAAACCAGTTATCTGGATCTTATGACTTACAGTGTAACATGGAATTTAGGATTGGTTTCAGCTACCAATGTTAGTTGCAGTTTGAAGGTTAAACACTTCAGCTTGCTAAATCAAGAGTTTCAACTTCCAATACATTTGCATACCTCTTCCAGCTGAAGCTCTGAACCTGTGAAGCCCCCACCAATATCCAACATGTTCATCTTAAAGCCAAATTCTTCCTAAAAGGCATAGGCAGAATGTAAGTACACAGACAACTGTAACCAATTTTTTTGTTGCTCCTTACTGTGGCTGTTTTCTATGTACTTATATACTTTTGAGCATATTTAGCAGAGTATGTGTGGTGAGGGACTGTACTCTGAGCACTGTAAAAGTTAGTACAGCTCCATTAAACCTAGCAGTAATAGCACTGGGATGTCAATAGAAGCTGGTTACACAATTCTTAAGTAGAAGTCCCACAGCAGTGCCAACTCCCACCTTGTGGCATTTGTTACATTCAGACAATATTTGCTGAACAGGATGGTGCATTCTGACAAAAGGAAGTTTTATGAATTTACAAATACATATAATGCAAGTCCTTTGGATAGAGCTTATGTGACAGGACTGCTACAGTGAATTTGCACGAAGATCAGTGAGAACTTCAGTTCTGTTGCCATCCATGTGTTAAGTCACAGTCACACAGTAGTAACCACAGTAGTAAAAAGCCTGGCGGTCTTGTCTAGTTTACAAGCTGTTTCTTTACAGGAAGACAGATGTTAAGACAATAGATTTTTGAATTTTGCAATATGAGAAATACACATAAAAGATTTAAGAGTCAGAGTCATCTGAAGCATCCCACAAATCCATTTCTCTTCATGCAAATTTGGATATTCTCCCCCCCACAATATGACACCTTTATTTCTTATGATGCTTAGTTATTAACCTCAGATCACGTGCACCAAATTAGTGGTTATATCATGATAAATGCCAGCATATAAATACTAAATATTTTAATATAACTTAAAAGTGTCAACTGCGTATTTGCAGGACTGAGATTTGAATTTCAAAAAGCCTTTACAAAAAGTGGGAAACTAATTTATTTGAAAACATCACAGAAGGCTAGTGCCTGTCAGCAGGACAGCATTCATTAACCTTTGTCCACAATTAGGATTATAAAGTTTGTTTTACCTCTACAACATGTCTTACAATGGAGTATTTAGTCCCTTACTAAAGTTCCATTTCCTACATTGATATATTTTGGAAATAACATAGTTGGCTTGTTAGTATAATTACAAAAGAATGAATCCTCTACTGTAACAATTGCATGTGTGTATTTATCTACTTACAGCCATGTCAAACACACACCGAGCATCAGATATAGCATGAATGTACGTCTGCAATTCCTTGCAAAAGCCCGAAACATGAAATCTGAAAGAAATTAAGCCACAGTTAATACACTGAACCATTCAGCTTTCAAACCAAGCAAACTGTTTCACCATCTAAAATAGCAAGTGGATCAAGACAAGCTTGCATGATAATACAGTAACTGTGCAAAGAATAAGCTCAGAAGATGATGGCCTTCTATTCCACTGGATTTGTACTTGATTGTACTTGTCTTGCTCTTAATGCTAAGAATGTCCTATAATACTATCATCTTTAAGAAACACCAACAGATTTATTGAACCTTTCAGTCTTCACTATTCAAAGTGGTTAAAGGTTGTTCTTCAGTGGGTGCCAACATTAACACAATACCTGCATACTGTTCCCCCTCTATCTAGTTTGTATTGCCTTGCCTGGACATCTCTCCTGGCCACCCAGTTTTCTCCTCCAAGCTAGGGCTGTACTGTGTATACTATCTAATCTCCCCAACATTTGGGAGAGGATGAGGAGAGATGTGTCCCGCTGCCACCCTGTTGTGAAGCTTCTTCACTCCAGGCTAGGTCCTAGTTTCACAACAAGTTGGTGAGCAGGTCATCAGAAGCAGATTCCCAATGCCTCCCTCACACACTTCTGAATCCCCTCTGGTTCCTTGTCCAAAAGGCTTAAGTACTGCCATAATACTGGTAGTAAGTGGGGTGCTAAATCAAGCACCAACATTCACACAGGCTTCCTAAAGAGTAGTATGATCTGCTGGTTCTGGACAGATGATACACACTCATCTGAGCCACAACACTCTCTACTCCAAGTCTAGTCCTTTGAAGAATACCATTTAGAGGCAAGGGTCACTTTTCAAACTTACTTGCAGGAATCCACATGGTTTTTTTTATAACAAGGCACAAAAGCTATGCGATTTTTGTTAAAGTTAGTTTAGACATTATGTAAAAGAGGTAGATTTTCTCAGTAGTACAATCTAATTCTTAAATATGTTTGTCATTGGTAATGACTAATATGTTTATGCTTCAATTTAACATAAATTTCAAAGATATTTACATTAAAACAATTGTGGTTTAAATCCTCAAGATCTAGCTTCCATTTTAAATACTTTGTCTTGATGACCCACCCTCTTCTGCATGCTTGCTTTCTTCATTCATGAGCATGTGATATATTAGTAGCTGAAGGTAGACAAAGACCTGTGCATGCATTTTTCCTACATATAGTAAAGTCTTTATTAAACTTCAAATTAAAATACCACAGATCATTTGGAAGCTCTCAGAACACTATGATTCTTTCCTGCTATCCGCAAGTCAAAAGTTTATCAGAGTATTTTGTCTTGATATGATCAAAGAGTGACATAGGACTTAACTCTTCAAAAATCCAACTTCATGTTCATCTTGTTCAAATCCGTCCAAGCCATTCTATGATATACTAGCACTTGTGTTACACTGTCTGTTGCTGGAAAAGCAAATCAAGTTACCACAGAAGTTCAAGAGTATAGCTAGAAAATAGGAGAGCCTTCTACACTTTGCTTTTATGCTGACAGGATTTCTGATACTCCATTTTAAATTGCTTTGATGGCTGTGATAGTTACACTGTTTCATAACTGCTTTTTGCTTCTCCATTAGCACTTTGCTTGCAAGCAAAAGCCCAATCAAAAAATTATTGGTTTGTGGTTTTTGCTTTTTGTTTGTTTGGGTTTGTTTTTTGGTTTTTGTTTGTTTTTTTTTTAAACCTGTAAAGTAGTGCCAAAGGGGAAAAAAAAATTCTGTTATATTCTGTCTTCAGTACATCATACCAACATCTGCTCAGCCAGCAGAGAACAATAAAGTTACTCACTTGACACCAACTATTTGGACTCCCAACTCCTTAGCACATTCCATGAGGTGCCTACAGTTCTTCAGGGTGGTGCCAAACTTCATATTCATCTCCTCATCAGCATTAATGTCTTCTGTGGCAATGTGCAGTAAGAGCCTAAGAGAAGGGGAAGATGATTGGGGCAGTTGGTTTACATCATCAGCACATGTGAAGCCTGAAGACTGTCAGAAGTGTGTTGATTATGTTGTCAGCACTCCAGCTCCATCGATGGATGAGTCAAGTGAACCTAATAAAAACAATCCTGTACAGAGAAAAAACTAGCAATTAGGGGCTAAAACATGGAGCCAACAAGGACAAGGGATTTGTAAATGCAGCAGCTAAGACTCTTTTGTAGCAGCAAGAGTCTGTTGAGTGCTGTAATAAAAGAGAATGTTACCTTCTAATAAAGTATACTTCCTCATAAAACCATTAAGACCATGATATGCTTTTCCCATCACTGTCTCCCTTTCTAGCCAAGAGGAGAGCATGGAGATTCCCCTTCAGTCAGTCATGTATCAGATTTGGTTAAGCCCAGCATCTGGAGAACACCAGGCTGACACTGAAAGCACACCCTGGCCACATCCCTCCACCTCTCCTCCTGGCTAAACAGATGGACTGGGGATGGGGTGGGGGTGTCAGTCCATTCCCTGCCCCTTCCTCCAGGGCACCTGTGGAGATGGGAGGCAAGAAGGACCATCTCTTACAGACTCAGCAGTGACACAGCTTCCTCCCTCTGGTTAAAGCCTCATTTCAAGTAGATCTGGCAAACTGAAGTGCCAGTGTTGACAGTTTTCTATACTAAAGTAACAATTCAGTGACAAAGGCATGTTTGCATCAAAACTTCTAGAGGTATACCCCCAGAACTCAAATTCAAACTGCTGTTCACCAAGAAAGTCACTCCTTCCCATTGCCCCAGTAAACATCAAACAGCCATGCTATAAACTAAACAGAAGTTGTGTCATGACACGTATGCAGACTGCAGAGAGCACAACATGACAGTTAACCAGCTGGAGAGCGTAAACAAGTGGTAGAAGCACTGCACTCAAAATGAAATAGCTCTTTTCAAGACATGCAACAAGACATTTCTCCTCTTGCTTAGAAAAAGAATTTGCCATCATCTGAGTTATGGAGACTTCCAAAGGCAGAAACATCAATTATAAAAAGACCCACCCATTACTGAGTTTAGTGCAGAAAGTTACAAGAATTTTCAGAAAATGAGAATTACAGCTTTCCAAGCAGGATTTTCTCTAATGTAATTAGCTTCATCTGCAAAAAGACAACCTAGCTATAACAACCACAAGGCTATATAAAGGCTTTGGCTTCGAAACTATGCCAGTGAACAGAAAGAAGAAAACTGATGGCTGTTACTTCAACATTTTAATGACCTGAATGAGAGAAATCTACTGAAACAAACAAATCTCTACCCCATAGAAGAGCTAGAGATCAGGTTTCTATAAAATTTAGATGGCAAATTGCAGTTCTATGTAGAAATTGAGTTTCATGTCCTCGGTAAATAGGAACTTTTTCCAAATAAGACTGTGGGATCCTTGAAAGTAGTAAAAGGGTTTATGTTGTTTTTCTCTAGCTCATGGAACTCCTTCATTCTGTCTCCCCACTTTACAATTCCTCTGGCTCAAGAAACATCTGCATCTTAACTCCTCTTGTTGTGGATGTTTCCATAGACAGCATCTTCTTAAAGATGCTGTTGGACCTAAGGAGAAAAATCAACATAAAAACTAACAAAACACTAACTCCACCAGTGATAACTGGTAAAACACTAATGACATAAGAGCTTTAGCATTGCTAAGGCTTTCAAAAGCACAGGGTATGTCAAGGCCAGCATTTTACAGACAAAATGATTTATCATATATAACATTCTTTACACAGGAAGTACTCTCCAGTATGCAAAGCACTGACAGGCTTCCATGAGGATGAAGTGTAATCACTAGCAACAGTAATATTGAACTTGAGGTAGTAAATAAAGTAACTACGTGGGATGAGTAGAGACTCCATATACTGAACTTGGTAGAATCTTCCCAATTCTACAACTATGGCCACAGTTCTGGGAGAAGACATGACACTAATAAGGACTGCCTAGAACCAAAGGCTTTGTAAAGGATGTCAGGAATTCAGTTTAGTGTGCTCTGATGACACGTGTGGGAAGCTGTATCTTGTTAACCACTGGAAAGCACTGTAATGTTCACTTGTGGTCTGACTCCCAATTTCTTGAAGGTATGGCCCCCAGGCAAAGTATTCCTATGTAAGGGACATGACAATGACATGAGCACCTATCAGTCTAAAAGAGAACACAATACATTGGCAGCAATAAAATTCTCGTATTTAACAACCAGGACATAAGCTTTGATCACTTTACATAAAGCATTGGGGCCAATATGGAAGTGACTAAAACCAGAACTGGAGTCAAATTTCTGTTTTAATAGTAGGAAAACACCTGTAGGTGTATTTAACAGACCTGCAGAGCATTCCCAAACCACAGATGGGACCTTGATGCACATTCTCATTTGCTGGTAGTCTCAACCCTGACTTCAGCTTAAGCCACTATTATCTAAACAGAATGCCCTGAAAGAAAACAGTGAAGCCACAACAGGGCAGGAAGATTTACTTGCAGATGAGGTGCCAGACCTGAACTTTAATCACAGAAACTTTTACATTAAGATTGCCCTACTAAATCAAAATGTAAGATTTCTCCCAAAACAAGGGCCTTACTATCATATTAGAAAGCTGAGATCCAGTATGGGGAAAGTTGCCAAAAAGCTACCTTCAAAGCAGACAAAGAGAAGAGAAAAACAGGTACAGGTGAATTGTATTAAAGAAGCTATGTACTTTGCTTGCAACTCAGTACAGGCAAAATTAAGTTTCCCCCAAATGAAGAACAAAACCAGAATTTTGACACTTACTTAGCATTTGGATGGTTACGTGCAATTTTCTTCAGCTCAATATCACTGTCACAAGTCATGATGTTTATCCCAGCTTTCGCTGCATATTTTATCTGAGAAGCTTGCTTGCAAGGATTTGTATATATAATGTTTTCAGGAGAAATGCCCAGGTCTTGTACCAATGCCATTTCAGACTGAAAAACAGGAGCATACCAGAGTTTGACACAGTCCAGTGTGCTAGCTTTTGTTGATTTTATTAGATGTGCTCTAGTCTAGTACTGTACTAAATAGTCAAATACACTCAACTCAACACAAAACTACCCACTGCTTCTAGGATAGAAGTATAGATTTTCAATAGCCAGTTACACAGGAATTTACAATTTAAATTTATAACCATGGCACTTAATACCAAAAAGCTGATTTTCAAACAGCAGATATATGAAAGAAAAGGCGCACTGAAAAGAAACTTACTTTACTGGAACATGCAAATCCAACACCAAGCGTTCCCAAAATTTCAAGTACACCTGGAGTAGAATTGCATCTTACAGGATAAAATGGTTTTATTGGTGCCATCATGTTCTGCCATTGTATGTTCTTCTTTACAAGCTTTCCAAGATCACCAACATAAAATGCTCTTTTTCCAGTCTAAAAAAAAAAGGAAGAATAAGAAAATAAAATGTCTGAAATTGTGGGTTTGCTGTCAAAACAAACAACCCATGAAACAAAGTCTTAAAGAATTATGTACTTTCACCCACTATTAACTTTTAGGTTTGACCTCATACAACACTTTTGCTTTTACTTTCACCTAGCAATTTGAACTAGTTTTTTTAAAAAATAAAATCAAAGGGAATACCTACCACTTCAGAGATATTATGAAAGCTATTTAGACAATATTCTGAGATTCCTGAGCAAAAGACACTACTTAAATGCCAAATGCTGATTTTATTGAAAAAATACAGAATAGGTCAGAAATCCCTTCCAACTTTGTATTTTCAGGAGTCTGCAACTTTTTGGAGGAAGAAAATCCACTGGGACAAAAGCTTTCAGTCTCAGCATTATTTATATCTTCTTATACAAGGAATAAATCTAATGTACTACCATTATTTTAACATCTAGCTAATAGCTCATTTTACTAAAAATTTGTTTGATAGTATTTTAATTCAGGAAGTTTGAGACTGTTGTCCACATCTTAATTAACACAAAGTTCAACAGAATTTTAAGAACTAAACTCAGTGTGCTGAGGTTGCAGAGTCAAGCACAAAATCTTTAAGAAAATGCACTTTTCTGGAATCTGTTAACAGTCCCCCTTGTGCATCTGTTACCATAGTCTTTCTCAATACCAAGTTATGATGTGGATGTAGTGGATCAAAATACAAACAGAACATTCTATATTTGTTTATAAAGTGCACTCAGTAAAATTCCTGTAAATGAATGGCCTACTGTATATCAACTAAAGACCATCACAAAACATAGGATCAATCTGAATTAAGACTGTACATCAAATGTTAATTCTAGCACTTGACTTTTGCAACTATGTTGTGGCTTATTGTATACAATGTCTTTATTTCTGTTTAAAAAACACAAATAGAAATTCCATCGGGTGGAAGCATACTGACCCCCTGTACGGGTCACCAGCAGGAATGGGATCTGGAGCTTTAGATCCATGGCACAGGCCTCTACCCCTTGAGCTAAAGGAGTAAATGAAAGCAGCAGGAGGCAGCTATCCTCTGTGAGCCAGCCAGTGGTTGGAGACATGACATGTTGCCAGTAGTTTACCTATTTATTTGCTAGACAGAAAAAGAATATTAGGAATCAGGATTTGGGAATCCTACACCTGAGTTCAGAAGGCCACGGGATTTAGCTATTTGCTCTACTATAGTTGAGCACTTGCATTTGAACATTAGTTCTGATAAACCAAGGGAAAGGTGAACAACTCATAGGTATGGCATATTAAGGATACAGGACTTGCTTAATGAAACTTCAAAAATTTTTTTAAAAGCTCACTCTTTCTACAACCTGGTCTATAAATCAAAGGCTACAACATCTTCCTGACTCTTAAGGAGTGAGTGAAGCCTTATTCAATAAAAGTACTACTGTATACACAGAACTATTTGCTTCGTTCCAGTAGATTACTAAACCTTAATAGCTTTTCGACCAGTTTATTGTCTTGAAAGAAAAAAGATAACACCTCACAATATGCTTGTACCCATGTTTCCAACAGAAAGAAGGGTAACAGGAAGGTGTACAACCATACAACTGTGACTGACCACAGAAATTTTAAACATGGCTTTAAACTGGCTCAGCATACATATATGTTTAAATTTTGCCATATTTTTAGGGAAAGAGCAAAAAAGCTTAACTCAGTGATATCTACTCGCCCAATTTCAGGTTCCTGGTCTAAACTTCATTGATAATAAAATCTCTTGGAACAATGAGATGGGAACCTGTATTTAATTACACTAGCAAGATTACTTTCCTGCCAGCCACACTCAGGGAAGTAACAATTGTTGCCCAAATGCCCCCATCAGAATTCAGCCCAAGGCAAACAAAGTAGTAGAATTAGAAGAGGGAACTACTTTATAAGGTGAGTTTTAGTCGACTGTTCCTCTGTTGCTGTTAGCTCATCAGTGCTAAATACCTTGACCTAGTTTGAAGACTTAAGAGAACTGCACCAGAAGATTTGGAAAACTTAGAAAAACTTACATGAGTATGTTCATAAATACAGTTGTCAATAACATCTGCAAGAGTTGCTCCTTCATCCAACAGACCAATGGAGTAATTTGCATCCTCAAGAAATCCTTTCATCTCAGCCGTATTCCACAAAGCCGACAGTCATAAACCAAGAAACACAAGGGATGGGCTTCCAAGCCTTATATCCGGGTCCTTAAATTATGCAACAAACTGCACAACAAAAACATAAATCAATGGGAAGAGGCACAAACCATACTATGCCATTATTTAAAAGTTAGACACATTTCTACATCTGACTACTACAAACAGTAACAAACACACACACCCCTTTTACAAAAAAAAAACCAACAATTTTTTTAATACACCGTTTACCCTCCATTTGCCAGGGATAAGGACAGAGCAATTCTACTGAAGCCAAGAATAAAACAAAAGCTGTGTGCTTTAAATCTGATACTAAAGGATGAGTAAGAAACCACTGATGTTCTTGAGAAGACTCCCTGACTGTATGCACACTGATTTGCATTGAGCTTATGCAAACTATGAAAATACTTCAAGTGTAGCATACCTGTACAAACACACCAGCTATTCTTAAGTATAGCATCTTAAGCAACATGAGTATTCAAGTATGCAACTGGAAGACTAATACAACATTTCTAATTTCTTAATTGTAGTTTATTGATTAAATGTTAGCATCGATATTGGTTAGATTCACCTATGTGTTAATATTCAAGTTTTTGTTTAGATGCTAGTTTATAACCATTGCCTTCACACACTATATTTACTAGACTTTTATTTCGTTGCTCCGTTCATAGGATTACCTAAAACACTTAATATCTTCACTTCAATAGAGGTTAAGCAAGAAGCCAATAGCTAGAAGCAATTTTAAAAATTACAATTACTCTCAGTAACCAAAACTAGTTTTAAAAGAAAGTAACAGTTATAGCCTAGCTTTACTTGCATCTTGTTTATCCTCAAACCTTCACTGCAAATTAAGCAGAGTTTTCCAAAAGACAACCTGAATCAAGTCCAAAGACAGAAACCATTGTTAAATATACAGTCTTAGAATACAGATAAGTCAGTCTCAAGTGAAAATCAGTAGACATCAGAAAACCACCAACAGTTGATTATACACCCTCATCAGCCTTACTTGATCAATACAACAATCTGCAGTTTACATTCCATTAGACTTGGTCTCCTTTAAAAGCAGTTTATTAGTTTATAGCAACTGACTGACCAGACTTCTGTTTCAACTGTCATTTTCATGACTAACACAAGACTGATAAAAAACAGCCAGCTAACTAGATTCCTTCTTTACATGAACACCCAAGACTGTATTTAAATTTCTCAACAGAAGTTGCATAGTTTTTATAATGAAGTGATGTTTATTTTCTAAAGCCCCCTGTATTTGGCTTTAAAATAACAAAACTCTAATTGAAAGTGTTGATAACACCCAGAAACATTACGGCTGCAGGTAAAAATGCTTAACTAAAGACTAAAAGCTAAGATGATCATTTTGGCTTCAAATGGTCACAAGGCCATGGTATTACCAGTCTCAGGTTTCTTCCACCACCACCTACAGTCAAAAAAATTCCACAATTTGCAACATAACTTTGGTTAACATTGTTAATATAAGCAAAGTTACTTTTGCTCAAGCTAATACTAAGACAGCTAAGCAGCAGTTGCTCCTGCTTGTCATTATACCAAATAATGGGGAAAAGAGCCAAGAGTTTTGTATGCCTTCTGCATAACTCAACTATGCCACCTATGTTTAAGAGACATATTTACTGCCAGGTGAATTTAACTTAGCAGCAACAAAAATTTTCAGTTACATTCATAAGCTAAATGATAAAGACAAGTATGCTGGGTAAGAACATACTTGTCTCACACGGTGTGAGTCATAAGCTTATTTAAGTGAATTCTTAAAATCCAAAATAATCACTAAGGAGCAAGGTAATTATCACATTGATGTAAGGATTTAAGTAAATTACAATTATATAAACAATGACTAGGTAGTAGACACTATAATAACCAGGAAAAACTTCTTCAGTCAGTCACATCTCAGTTTAAGATTGTGATTAACAGTAGAGCTCCTTAAAAAACCCATCACCAAACAAAAACAGTGAGAAGCTTGTGAACTAGGTTTGACTTATAATCAGTGAAACAAAGGTGAAGACCACAGTCATGTTTACATAGCTACTGTCACCCTCTAAACAGGTTCTTCATCAGTATCCTTGATTTGCTAGCTGATTAGCACAAAGTCCTCAACACATTCCCCTCTATAAAGTATCTGTGATTGCCAGGAGCAGAGTACCAAAAAGGGTTTGGGTGCTGGCATCAGCATTTTACTGACAACTCTATACAATTATGGAAGATTCAAAACATGAAGATAAAAAAAAAAAAGACTAACAGCAGAGTTTAATACTTCTAGCATAATCTCTTCATACTACGACTTTAAAACTTAGTTAAACATTAAGCTGTTTAAGTACTTCATGCATCCTCAGGAACTTGCTGGTTGTGTAACAAACATATTAAACTCATCTTCTACAATAATAGCTCTTTTGTTGTCTTCTTGCAAGAAGAATAATGTCCAGAGAGACAAGTAAGTAAACCAACCATGGTGAACACATGCTAGAGCAAAGCTATTTCCATTTTGATCAGATTATTCAAATGTAGCAGATCTGTAACCATTCAAAAACCACAAATGCTTCAATCCTTTTGTGACAGAAGGGTGTTTAAGTTTCAAATTTTAACCATGCTTTGTGCTGAATCTAAATCTATAACATCTTTCAGGACACATCTGATCTGTCCTATGACTTCAGAAAAAGTTCAACAAAACTCGAGTGGCAACATTTTGACACAGTAACTCTGTACAGGATGAGCTTCCATGATCTCAGTTCCTCTTTCTCCCTCCCCACTCACATCCGACCAGTGAATGCCTGCAATTGAATGCATGTGAGAAGTGACTGGGCTGGCAGAAGCCTCCTATCTGAGATTCTTTATTGTTTATTCCAGTTGGACAAATTCTGTGCTTCTCATCATAAGCTCACAATTCCCTGACACATCATACAAACATGTTAATAAGCCTGAAGGCAAAACTAAAGCATTTTAAGGATTTACCGTATATACAAGGGTACTAAGCCAGATTTTAAAGTTTAGGTGTTTTTGTACAACCACCTACTTCCTACACTGTAAAGCATACAGATGGTCAAGAGTCCTTTTCACTGAATGAATGCACACCCCCATCTGCCCTGCTGGGAGGTCTCAGTGCACCCAGCAGAACATATCACAGCACTGAACAGCTTTTTAGGCTCAGACACACACCCACCCTGCAGGCTAATTGCTTGTGCCTTCTATTTCCAAAGAAGCAGCTTGGTCTGAACAGCTAGCTTTTTTGATTTGAGTCTTGGTGTTCATCTGAGTTACACTGGAGTAATAGAAGCTAATTTTGTAGTACTCTTAAAAGTTTTTTCATAGTCAATGACTGCAGTGTCTACAGCTTTCAGAGATGGTGTAGAATACCACTTTCCTCCAAAAGCTGCCCTTTTCAGGGGACCCTGTAAGAAGGGGGAGAACTGGTTTAATAAAGAATGGGGGGGGAAAGAGGCCTCTCTACCACTAGCTTCCCCAAAACAACAAAAAAGCACACGTATCTGCTAAGTTAGCTTTGATAAAGGTAATTTCCTAAAATACACATTGTGTATTGTAGTTTGTTCATCCAAAAAGCATCTTATGGTCAAGAGACAGGAACAAAACTAAATCCATGCTAATACAGACTTAATAGAACAACTTGCAACAAGCCATAAACAACCCAATATAACCTCTCCCAGGCTGCTAAACAGCAATTGTTTCTTCAAAGCACACCTAACTGTTTTCATTTAGGAAAATCTGTCTAGTAAAAAAAAGCTAACACTAGCCTACCAACTTCTGTCCTCAGAATCACAGTCCATTTCTCTCTCCAATTGCTCCTGCTCTGCAAGAAGTCTTGTTGAGAACAAGATAGAAAGAATATTCTACAAAGATAAAATTGAAAATCCTACCAGTACTGCTACAGCACCACCACAAAACAGTGAATACTTGAGGAATGTTTCTTTAAGGGCTTAATACCTGCAGTAGGATTTTGGACTGTTATAAACTTACTCTGTTTGGACTGACCCCCCCCTCCTGAGAGGGGAGGAAAATCAGTGATAAAATTTGTGGAAGATAAATGAATACACACAGAAGGAAATAGAGAGGATGGTTTAAGACTTCTGTGCCTGTAAGACAAGTCAGAAATCATTACAGTACAGAGTTCAGTCCTTGCTGGAAGTGCTGACTTGCTGCAAGTCATGATTTGACAGACTTACTGTGGTAACACCACCTATTTTACCACCTGAAATATTAGTCTGCGAAATGCTCCAGGGCATATATTTTAGGGCAAACAAAAGCTGTCAAGTGGTATGAGACTTTTACATAGGCATGCAATTACTTTCTTTGAAGTAAGTGTTGCATCCTCAGGCTCTTTAAGGGTTTAAGACAATGACTTCCCAAATGAAGAACTTGAAGATATAAGCTTAGGTATTTAAACACTGCAATTAATGCAGACATCTGGAATAGAAGAAAATTTAAATGCTCTGAAAAGTGACTAAACACATGCTTGTCATATGCAAACATCCATAACAAACACATAATTTTCAGTTTTCTTTACACTGTCAGAACTACATGTTTGACCTAAAAAACCAAAACCTTGAGGTTTGTTTTTTTATTAAAATCTTCCTCCACAAAGAACAAAGTCTCTGCAACCAAACAGGCTCCAAATAATACCTTAACTACATGTCTTAAGTAAAATAAATATTTATGAGATTAACAATTATGCTGATTCAAAAATCACAGAGGTAAAATACATTCATCTCACATTCCCTACAATACTGGTTCTTCAGGGGTAACAGATCAAAAAAGTACAAGCATTTTGTCACTAACACTGGCAATTAAACACAGAACAGGTATAGTAGAAGAATAGAAACACAAGCCCTCCATTTTCAGAGAAGGACATGCCTATTTGTAACCGGAGCATTTTTAAAAAATATTTCAAGATGCCAATTTACATCCTTACCATACAGTTAGCTCAATGCAGCCACTAACCAACTGATGGAAACGCTAAAGTAGGTGTCTCCATTTACAGTGGCAGTGGGCATTTTGCATTATCCAAGCTGCCTCAGTACAAATCCCCCGAGGGTCACAACCTGTACAGTTTAGCTTACTTGCATCCTACCATTCTCTCGGGAGTATTCCACACAGTTAAATGAGCAATGCAACAAGAGCATCTCCGCTGAAGTGAGCAAGCAAAAGGAGTAGATACTAAAAAATAAAGTCCATCTGACATCATCTACAGGAACTGTGCTTTCAAGAACCTCTTTCTGTTTTCAAGTTTGAATACATTATTGAAAGCCACTAAGCTAGCAAAGCTTACAAAAATTACTACTCTTGTAAGTGCATGTGTACTTCTGTGGTACCATACCAGCACTTCTTTCATGACAAGTGCAAGCAGTTACTTGCCTACCCATTCCTCTTACTTGCTTAATCAATATTAGTATTTGGCTTCCCCATTGCTCCCCAATCCTCCAAACTCCCAGCCCTCCTGTTCCCCCATTGCCACCCAGTCCTATTTAGACAAAGTCAAGAGAACTTCAAAGGCTAGCCAGTCCAGGTAACTGCTGCTTCCACTTGGCATAGACAGGGTTTGTTAAATAGATCAGATTTCTATCACTAATCCCCTCCATTTCCTATCAACCAGATGTGGCAATAAATAGAACAGATTATAAAAGGAGAAAGACAGAACTAAATACCAAGTTCTTCCTTGGCCAGTGTAATACAAGGACAAAAGCGGGAGAGAGATAATTATAAAAAGGAAGCAAGTTTAATGGGAATGTGAGTATACCTTCAGACAGGAGATTTTTGAGTTCCACTGGAACATAATAATAGATTTAAAAGCTCAATCGACCTTTCCCCCATTAAATCACTTTGCAAGTTGAATAGGACTCAAACTACCAATTAGAGAGCTCACATCTTAGCTGTGTGTTGGGCAGTCACCTGTGCTTCAGCACACCAAAACAGGTACAGATTTACTGGCAAAGACTTGCAGACTACTGCTACCTACATCACCACTACATTCAATACTGAACTACTTATATTTGTGTATAGCATATTATTACTGAACACATAACAGATGCAAGCTCAAAATAAACACATCATCTTTCCATTTCAGAACAAGCTATATCTTGCACTATTTGTCAGAATCCCAGAGAGGAAAAGCTTCAGTCAAAGCCAAATTTCCCTTCAGAACATTTTTAGAAACAAGAATGTATCTATAGTACCCTAAGATTTTAAGCTTTATTCACTCCTTCCTCCTAATTCTTCTGCCTTTCTTGTAATTTCACTACTTTATTCCTGTTTAAGTGCAAAATGTCACTCAGAGTTCTAACCACATACAAGAGAGCCAAAACTCAGAAACTGAACAAGAGCAACAATTTTCTCAGATCTTTCGCTTATAAAAATCATGGGACACCTACAAAATAAGTGATATTCAGTGAATTTTCAATGTGAACTATATTGACTTTAATAGAGCAGTCATCTACATAGAATCAAATACATGCAGATAATTCAGTAAGTTTCAAATAATACAAAAATAACAACCTCTGGAGAAATCCAGAAGTCATGATAAACCAAGCTCACCCTGTGCTTCTCTCTGCAGTATTTTCAAAGAACAGGGTCATCTACATTAAGTACCTTATCAGGAGACCTACTAACACAACTGGCATTTGGACTCTGTGGTCTTTAAAAAGCACCTGGCTCAGTTAGATGCACTTAACCATTCTCATTCTCAAGTTTTACATTAAAAAGCATTATATAATTTATAGATAACAAGCCAAACAAAAATGCCTTCAGCTAGACAGGAAAAAAGTAATACTGTATAAAATCAGCTTAACTCAGATATTACAAATGCATTTAAGATTATTGTTAAAACCACATAAAGCTTTTGTTTCATGTTAACAGAACAGGGTAACCACATACATTCCAGAGTTTTCTGTGCAACTTAAGATCAGCTATGTGCGTTTGTTTTCAGTTATCATGGGTTTTGTTTTTCTTTAATAACCACTTGCTTCTTAAAAATGTAAAGGCATTTATAATTGGTACATCATTTCCAGCCAACACAAAATTCCACATTCTACTGTAGCTCAACTACAACTATTTGTGGAAGTGAATAGTAATTAGCAAATAATGGAGACAGGCATTTGGGAAGGCACACCCTTCATGATCAGCATTCGTTACTGTTTACAAGAGCAATTTTTAACTACTTCAGTATAAAACACCCTAAGAAATCACATATACTTAGGAAATCATGGTTTGATGGTTAACAGTCATGCAGTGCTAATTCATGACTTCAGAATTACCACCAACTTTTATTTTAGGATTTCTGCAGACAACAGGCCTAATTCAGAAAAGTAACTATTTACAAAGCTTACTCACACATGTTTAAGTCTCTCAGAAATTCATCAGACAACTCTGTTGAGGAAAGCTGAATGAAAACCCTATATAATATGCATGCCACTATTTTCAAATTTTGATAATCTACATCAAGACAGTCTGCTTATCAATAAGCCAATACATGCCATTTGTATTTTTGGAAGTGTTTATCCTCCTGCATATAGATGAAAAGAGAAGGAAGAAACTTACATGGACAAGTTAGGAGATGGAACCCTACTATCATCAGCTAGGTTCCCAAGGTGGCTCAGCGTTGAAGTCGAACTGTTCTCTATAAAGCACTTCTCCTAAGCCCTCTGGATAGTTGTAAACTTGATCAGAGATTTTGCCCTGTGGGAGAAAACACATACAAAAATAAATTCATAGCCAGAACAAAATAGAAGTTTTATCTTAAAGCACGTAACAAATTTCTTTTCAGTAGTGCTTTTAAGGAGGCTTGAAACACTCTACCATGAAAGTTTATAATCACATAAAAGACCCAGTTTTCAAGAGTGAATGTAAACTCTGAGCCAGATCAAGTCAGATGTATTAAGAACTGCTAAAACACATGAATTACACACATGAAACTGGTTGTTTGTACTTATCTTTCATAGTCTGAACTGAAAGACTTTCAAAACTAAAGGTCAAAGAGCTCCTGCTTTAGGGTAGCATGCTTAATACTGGACTACTCTCCCAGAAGTGTTCTTGACCCTGTAGCCACTTTCTATTTTAGAATTCCATTGCCATGTTCTTTCTTATTCTGTTGTGAATGAACACAGCATGTGGGTGAAAAAGCTATGTGGGTGAAAAATAGTGCTTTATATAGTGAAACTGAACACCATACAGACAAACCCAGAGATGAGCAAGACAGCAAAAAGAAACTTATGCTTGCCTTCAGGAATGAGGAAACAGTTCAGCTGGCCCTTGAAGACTATTACACAAAACACCAAAGTAGCATTTTAAAGTACAAGTCAAGCTTACTCAAATTAAAGTAAAACTATCACACAGAACAATACAATGAACATAAAAAGCAGTCAAGGAAACGTTAACCAGCCCCACTGAGAAGTTATTCCTTCTAGAAGTAACTGTCATTTTAATGGAATTAAATACAGTACAGAACTGGTCATGTGTAAACCCAACATATAACAAAGTCTCTACAAATTCACTGTGGTCTATGGCATAAAAAAAGGGAACCTACTGTAAAAATAAATATTTTCTGCTCTCATTTAAATGAGACTACATGTGCTGACTACAAAAACCTGGCTTCTGGGAATCACCTAACCCAAATGATCATGTTTTCAACCATATTAGTTAAGCAGACTTCTGAAGTGTATTGTTCCACTTATTCTTGCTATTAGAAAACTGAACTAGCACACTCTGTAAAGTAGTGAATCAGAGTGAATGCAACTTGAGGGTAACTTCTACAGCAACTCCACAGAGCAATCTCTTCAGCTGTATCATATAAATTAACATTTAGTAGCATATAACATTAAAAACAAACCTCAGCACTTCAAACCTGAGATATTAAGGATTTTTTTCCAGCTAGAATTAATGTATATGCAGTGTTTTTGCGCAGGCCTTGCACCAACAATCTAAGACTGTTTAGACTCCCTGTCTCACAGTGTATTTACTCTTATTTCCACTAATGCAAGATGTCAGCAACATTTAGTCCTCAGAGCATTCACACAACAGTTTTAAAAGCTGGCAACACTTTCCTTTTGTCAAATTAACTAGGTAGCACTATTTTCTAGTGCTGTTTCACTTATACTCAAGAACTCATACAAATTTTCCAGTGATTATGAATTAAGTTTACCTTCCCAGCAAAACAAGTCATTAAAACAGGTGCTTCTAGGGAGAGCGCATGACCTTTAGTACAAAACTTAAAAAGCCATGCTTCAGACATGTATCACCTACAGTACCACTCCAATAAATATTCTCACATATCCCAAGAAGGAAGTGTGCAGTGAAAGTTCCTGTGGAGCTAGAATGAAACCCAATTATTTTCTGTAGCAATAGTCAACGACAAGCTGCGCTGATTTGTAATTGCCCTTCAGAATTTAATTCAAATGAGATTTATTTATCTGAAGGATCTACACAAATGTACGGAAAATAGTCTGACTGCCCTCTTTTGTGAAGGTTTGCCAATATTAAATATTCAGAGAGGAAAATGGTACGATTTGAGCCGTTCAAATCATAGTAATTTTACTCTGCTTCAAACAGCACAAAGAGTTCACTGTACTGTGGCAGAGCAGGACTACCATTTTAAGCAGCAGAAGTGTATTAGATGTCCATAACCCATATGGGCAAACCCAGTTTTTGAAAAATTGCATATGTGATCAGCCACAATGAAGTGCTCATTGTTTAAGGGTCTTAAAGTAGGTATAAAAACATTATTTGCTAAACAGCAAGCTTTGAGTTGCAGGGAAAAAAAAAACAAGGCAGCTTTGCCTTTTAATACTCAAGTGACACCATATGCATGTATTTCTATATCATCTGTTAGTATACTCTACTAACAGGTGCCTCAAGTTTTGACTGCAGCTCGACCAGCAATGCTGTACTTTGTACTTGAACAGTAACACTCACCTGAGGAAAAAAACAACCCCCCAGTCATCCACAGTGCAGTTTTGCCAGAACTGCACCCCCACTGCAAGCCCTATAAGTGCCAGCAGGCCAGTCAGGGCCACACTTTTTCCAGCTCATGGGCCCCCTCAGCTCCCCATATCTGACACGGACAAGCCTATAAAACCAGGCACGGATTCATTTGCTGTGAAAAAAATGATCCACTGCATCGTTCCGATTCTGAAGAGACCCTTTAGTGACCTGAGCTAAAATATCCATGAGCCAAACCCCAAAAAATCTAGCTGTACGATGAGCTTGCACATTTACACCAACTGACAGACTCAGAGGCACCAAAGTTACCCTGGTCCACAAAAAAACAGCTACTCTTCCATTACAATAGGCCTTTTCCAGATCAGGGCCAGGGCGTTGTAGGGAGGAGGTCCTGAAGGGAGCACAGATCCCTGAGGAATTCTCCCATCAACCACACTTTTGCTCCTGCACTACATCAACAGCATTTTGAACTGAAATTTGCCATTATACCCAAATTAGTCCATTACACAATTAAGCCTCCCTTTCAGGAAGGGACAGTCTTAATTTCCTTCCAGAGCACTCCATCTCTCCTTTAATTGGAGAGATGGAATAATTTCCAGACCGTGCAGCCCAGCACTGCTGCTAACACACACCTGTACCAGCCTTCCAGCACAGGGAGCAGCCAGAGGCACAAGCTGCTGCGCTGGGGGCCGGCTGCAGTGCTGAAAGGCGGTAAGCCTGCCTCTGGCCTCCACTAAAACTGTCCCCACGGGAGAAACATTCCCATTGCTGTTCACAACCAAACACCACCCTCCCCTCCCAAAGTCTTGTGAAGACCTCTTCTTCTGGGGTTTAACAAGCTTCCCCAGGAGCTCAAAGCCCAGCGGGAGGGATGGGGGGCAGCAGTCCGGCTGGCTGCGGGGGGGGCTCAGCCTACGGCAGGCAGAGGAGGCAGGGAAGGGAGCTCACCACAGCCTGAAGCACACGGGGAGGGGGCTGCCGTGTCGCAAGCATCAGCCACGGCAGCAGCAGCATTGTTCACACGGTGACAGGAAGGAAAGAACTAGACTGGACCAGTCCAGACTGGAACAAACCCCTCCTACCATCACCATTATTCACAACCCCCACCTTCCCCCCCAGTACCGCTGCCTCCCGCATTTATCCAGGCAAGAATAGCGGGCAAGTGCAGTATCCTCAGAGCCAAAAATCCAGCAGCCAGGGTGAGAGCAGAAGTGGGGCGGCACTCCCCACCACCAACCCACCATCACTCGGGAGACCCAGACACGCGTCTGGCTGGAGGGTAGGCTGGTCTAACCCGCTTTATCGGGCACCACACGATGCTTTCCTTCAGGGCGGCTATATTCGACTGGGACTACACAATCAAATCCTGCTCGGTCACTGGAGACTGCTGCAGAGGTCTGAAACACAGCACTTCTGCCCACTGGCACATGTCAGTTGTGCAGGATTTTGCACTGCAGGAGCTGCACTTCAGAAAGATTCAAAAGATTTAAGCTCACTTACTTCCCTCTTCACTACAACTGGGGTCCCCCCAGCACAAGATACACAGCTTCTTGGGCTCTGAATGAGTCCAGACTGCCAACTGGAAAAGACCTGCAGTGCTGCCTGGTAACAAGCTGTAACAGCATTCTCCTCAGCCACACCAGCTGCCCCACGTTCCTGTGTTTGCACCCCCTTACACACACGAGCCCCCCACTCCCACACGGTACTTCCAGCTCCTCTACAACCAGTAACAGGGACCTCTGCTGACCTCACCACTACAACCAGTAATGGGCACCTCTGCTGATCTCACCCCAAACACAGAACAGCACTGCAGTGAGCACACACACACACTCATCATACCCTGACATCCAAGTGCTTTACACACACCCCCCGCCAGCAGCTGAGCAGCAACTAGACCCTCCTCTCCATACTTTCCAAAAGCCACCAGTACAGCAGCAGCCATACAGTACCATACACTACTGACCAGTACAGTACCAGCAGAGGCAGCCAAGCCAAGAAGGCTGAGACTTCCAGAAGGACTGGCAGCACCAAACCTGCTACTGCTACACTAACAGGCTGACCAAGGGAAGAGAGAAAACGTGTATCCTTGAGATGACCAGCCACCCCGGCAAAGGAAGGAGACTGCTAACATGAAGGAAGGGCTCCACTTCCCATGCACTGGAGGACCCCCCGGCCCCCCTGCATGAAGGCAATTTGCCCTGTCATCCCAGTGCTCATCCCGGAAAGCGTCACTTGTGCAATGCCCTTACAACTTGTACAGTGTCCTGACAGCTCACGCTGCCACCCTGCTCCTTGGCGTGACCCCCCAGTCCTCCATGCCGAGGGGGACGCAGCGAGGCCCCATGCAGGCACCCGCATGTGCAGCTCAGGTGAGGGGAAAAGGGGAACATGACAGTGGGAGCCCGGATGGATAGTCACGGTTACAGACACACAACATGGCCTCTGAGAAGCAGGCGAGGAGAGACGCCGCAGCCATGCCACCAGCACTTCTCCAGCCTCTCTGCCGCCCGTCAGGCAGGCCAGCCTCGAAGCTTGTCACACTGCTGCTCTCCCCGGGCCCCAGGGAGCTTCCTGCGTGCGGGTGCACCGAGGGGAAGGGATCCTGCACGGGAGGCGGTGATCCCGAGCACGGGCAGCTGCCACAGGGCGAGGGGACGGCACGCCGGGGTCCGGGGCAGCCCCTCTCCATAGGGGTCGTGGCGAGGACGCCCCTCGCCCCCTCTCCAGGAAGAGGCGCACGGCGAGAGGTAGCAACGCCCGGCGGGAACGGGTCTCCCGCCGCGGGGCACTGCCCCGGCTGCTGAGAGGGAAGACACCATACAGCCCCCCTCCGCAGGAATCCGCCATGTTAGG